CAATAATTTCATAGCCAATAACTGTTGTACGGCCTATTAATTACACTCATAAATCCAGTTTCTAATGAGCATTAATTTGATATATAATACTCTGTGATGTCATTTATACTTTAAGTTGCAGAGGGGGCGCGTAATGGTTTTTGTAACACCCTGTGGAACAGAGTTACGAAAAAGTCTCACATATCTGCTCCGATCTCTTCGATCAACTGGTGCTTTTTGCTAGTCGGAAGTTTATTAGTACGCACGTAACGTATTTCACACTGAGAACGTGGTGAAAAGTGATACACTTAAGTGACTAATACTATGTTCTTTCTGGATGATGTTAAACTGAAACTTATTGTCATTGATTCATCATTGTATTCAATAGCTCGTGCCAAAATTATCTTACAATCATTGAACTATGACGATTATGATTATGAGCAGTGTCAAATGTGGTTTTCATCAGGCTGGTCCGATGAAACTTTATCATTATTTCGTTATGTTGCCAAAGAATGTAAAAAGAAAGAAACATCAATATCACCATTAGGACAAATTTTTCAATATTGGATAGACTGTACACCTCCATCAAGAGATGAAGCTCGAAATAAATGGTTTAAAATGTCGTGTGATAATACATTTGATATGACCGCGGCGAATTTATTACGTTCGGAAGATCGCGGACATTTATTACACTATCAATTAACCGGAGAATTATACTATCGACAACAATCGTCATCATCCGTTGATTGTGGAAATGTTATGATGTTTTGTAATGAAATTGTCGATCCTTCATACAAATCAATATTCTATTCTTTACCAATAATCGAAATAATCCAAAATTCCAACGATTCTGGAAAACCGTTTATGGCATTGATTTTTGATTACTTAACGAAAAAAATAAAAAGACTTGTTAGAGAAATGGGTCGTGATATTTCAAGTTGAAGTTGTTCATCAAGAATTCGACGTGAAAAATAATGAAAAACATTTTATTGAGTATATCAAATCCTTAGATGTAAATTCAATTTCATGGTCAAATATGATGGATTCAACAGGATCACCAGCCGAATTTCATGAACTTGCTAAAAAGTTAACAATTAAAACTCATTATGGTTACTCCACCGAATGATCAAAACGGATTTATGGTACCTATATAACAGATTATAATCAATTTGATAAACGTAATGATATATTTATCGAATCTCGTCAACAGATAAAAAATTTAATTGATATTTATCAATTAAATGTACAAGTCAAATATTTAAATCATACACCATTTGCTAGTTATCACTTATTAACACATTATTATTTATCATTAAACTATATTCAAAATTGGATTGATAATTGGTTTAGAAAACAACAACCGCAAGTCAATATTATTCAACATCAAATCGAATCTTATTGTGTGTTCTCTAAATATTGTACAACATGTCATTTAAAATGGTCGTATGCAGCATAAGACATATGGTAGCATTAACAAGAGACAACATACCATTCTCCAAGGCTTAGCTGTGTGTAATTTCAGAATATACTAAATCTATGTAGTACTGCCATATTTTCTTTAGACTTTAAAGGGAAACAGACAAAAGATTTTTTTGCGAAATATGTATGTACGAAGTCTCGATACAATTTAATCTTGTATTCGATAGTAGAAAAAATGCTAGATATGTTTTATAATTATTTTTCACAGCATTATTTACAAAAATTGGTACATAATCTTTTGGAATGAAACAATGGAGAATTAGTCGATTAATAGGAGGCGCACATATGTGCCGCTGCTTGTAAGAGATTAGAAGAAAAGGATTTTATTAAATCAAATATATTTAATTAAACTAAAAATCATATAAGGCCAGCAAAATAATTTGGAACTCAGAGGGTTAACCCTTGACGGCCGTTCACCTTCAATAGCTGCACCCGAGTCCAATTGGACTCACTAGGAAAGGCATCAAAAGGTTCGATGGCTTTTGTTTGATTTGGACTTGCCATAAATCAATTAAAAGCCCTGCTGCTCTGTCCGGTCGCGAATCTGCTAGCAGTTTTACCGGCATATGAAAACAAATATAGAGAAGTAATGAGAAACACAAAATTTAAGGTGGTCTGCTTGGATCCCCAAAAAGCTGTCAAGGGTTAATCAAAAAAGCTTTTTCCTGATACTTTATACTCTAAACAGTGGAAAAACATGTTTTTAATAATTCAAGGGAGCTGAATCTCGAAGATGATTCCGAAATATCACAATTATAATTGAGAGGAATAATAAGTATTATACAAAAATCGCTAGATCTTGATGAGCCAAATCCGATGATGTAACTCTCAAAACTTTAGCATGTAGATTTGCTTCTGAAAATGCTGAATATAAAATCTTTGACCGAAAGGTGAGTTTTCAGAACACGTACTTCAGAATACTATTCAATCTCCGGTAATCAAATGAGTGGATATAATATGAAAAGGGAATTATCACAGATTGGAAAGCGGAAAATTATTTTTGAAAGTTTTCATTTATTAGAGAACGGCATTGAAAATAGAACGGTTTTTATATATTTTTAAAAATACTAGAAAAGTACACTTTCATTTTCTCACAAAAATGGTGTGACACTTTTGACCGTTTTTTGTCACACCGTGACGGTTTTTCTGATTTTTCTTTGATTAATACAGATTAATTAGAATAGTTTCGAACTTAACAAGCTATCTCATCTTGTAGAACAAACAATTTTCTACAAACTGGTGTACTTGTTGAATTTTCGCCTGCTCGTCTTCAGTCTTTTAGACACGTTTTTCAGATAGGTTCAAAATCGATTTTTTTGCCTGTTTGTGACAGCTGTATTTTCATAACTAATCAATCAGAGCCAAGACACTTTTCATTTTGTAGAGAAATGTTTAATGTACTTAATTATGTAGTTGCACTTTTAGATTAGTTTGTAGCTGTACTGCAATAATCTTTTGAAAAAGAGCGAAAAAGGAATACCTTTAGCTGGACAAGCCGTACTATAGATTTTACTTTAATTAAAGTTTTATGAAAAACACTAAAGGAACACGTGTAAATCCTCAGAGATTTCTAGAAAATCCGTTGGTAACCGCTTAAATTTTTACTTTCATATCCTAGTAAACTTCTATGAATGTTCAGTTTTTCATGATCTATCTGACAGTCTGTTTGAAAATATTAGTTGCTATGAGGAAATAAGTGCTATTTCAATACTTTAAAAACAAAGGAAATTTTAAATTTTAAAACTTTAAATTCAACCTAAAATAATTGTTTAATGCTTTCTTTTTTAAAATGTAACTCAAATATTTTTCTAATAGTGTATATTAAAAAGCCATCTCTAAAAAACGATGGTTTTCTAGAAGTTCAATATAATGAAGTTTTGAAATATTTTTCGAAATGGCCATTTGAAAGAGCATTGTTTCAAACCCTGAAGTTTTAGATTTCATGAAATTTCGTCAAGTCTTTCTGAAAGAAAAGACTGAAACGTTTTCCATGCAAGCGGTCTCTTGTCTTTCGTCATAGTTATGTACGAGCAATCGCCGCACTAGCGATCTCAGATCTTTTTTTAAATGTTAAGTATGAAATTTTCAATTTCAATTCAGTCACCTTAAAGATCTTAGTCAGAATCTTTAAGGTTTCTGAAGTCAGATTCTTGAAGTATATAGTAGACTCAAATTTATAGCTGATTAGAGTCATTGTGTAACAGACGTACATTCTACTCTTCTTTTTTCTCTAGTTGATGAGACATAATGTATACACCTTTTGAATATTATTGTAATTGTTTCTTCAAAAGCCTATATGTTATCGATAGTTATATTGAAACAACTATATGGAAACTTTTTGAATGAATATTCATTTCTAGTATTCTCGGACAGTCCAGTTGGAAATAGAAATAAAAACAAAGCTTAGAACAAGATAGTTTATGTCGATGTAACGAATAATGGGTATTCAACTTACATTTTGTGATTGTCTCTTCCTTTACTCACTCTCAATCATTTTGAAAACAATGTCATTGGATAGAAAATTCAATTCTGAATTCGATAGACGAAATTTCAAAGCAAGGAGTCTCTCTGTATCGAGTTAATCATTCAAATAACACATATCTATATGTATAGTTGAAAGTTTTCAACTTATCTTTCCCTAAATGAACTGGATCGTTGTGAAATATGTTCGATTTTAGAAAAAAATATAGAAAAATAATGAATCAATGAAAATGAACAAAAAAAATTGATGAAGAACAACAGATTTTATTAAATTGTTTTTGTTTTACTTCAATTGATGAAGAAACGTGTTTCTTTGAGAAGGAATAGAGACAAGAACAATTGACACTTGTCTCTTACATTCTTAATAGAATGTTCCGTTCTATCCTTACTCTCCATTAGAGCCTGCCTTGACTAAGATATTTAGTCACGATCGTGCGCGTGGACAGAACAAAACAATTCGAATCGTTCTGTCTGTGGGTGTTTTGCATGAACAATTTTATTTTGTTCAATCTACAAGTGAGTAAAGAAAAGATTTTTGATGGACAAGGCCAAGATTTCAACTATTCACCTTAAAGATTCATGAAAAAAAATTTTCTTGTTTCACAGAATATTAATTTAAGAGTTTCGATCATTTCTCAAGAACATCAAATTCAATTATTCATATCTCATGGAAAACCGAACAGCCTTTCTCGTTTCCTTGTTTTTACAAATTTAATTTAACTAGAAGAGAAGAAGTCAATTGTCTTTGTCTTAAAATCAAGTATTTTTTCAATATGTTCAGTTAAACTAAGAGTTTGAAACCGTTCTTTGACTGTTTCACTTGTCGAAGCCTCTCTTTTCCATTCTCAGACAGATTACAGTTGGATATATAGAGTTCCTTCAGTGATCGATTGAGTTCGAGCATTTGAACAAGAAAATCCACACTCAAGTCACTCACCAACTTATTCGAGGAAAGAGCGAGCCATTGCAGGCTTTTATTGTGGTGAGCAAGTGCACTGGCCAAGAGTTGAACTCCTCGATCGCCAATTTCATTCTCGCTGAGCTCCAACCCAACCAATATAGTATTTGTCTTGAGCATTTCAGCAAGGTGTTGCGCATCGTTGTCTGTGATTCCAGTAGATTTAAGGGTAAGAACCTTGAGAGCGGAGTTGTTGAGCGAGAGTGTCTGTACCAAAGAATGAACACCCATGTCACACACACGATTATAGGAAAGATCCAGTACCTCCAATGTTGTGTTGTTGTGCAGTGCCTTGGCTATGATCGATGCACCGTCTGATGTCATCTTTTGTTGCTGTAACCGGAGCTGTCTGCACTGTTTATTGATGATTGCCCCTTCGACCACAATCTCCATGTCTTCATCACGCAAGTTATATTTTTGCAAATCCACAAAGGAGTGACACTTATATTTATCAATACGATCTTGAAGTGCTTTATTTTGATAAATTCTAGTTGCAACTATTGATGGTGGGGGTGGCGGTGGTGGAATAATAGTTGAATGGAGGTCTGGAATTTGAATAAAACGAAAAGGGGGTTGAATTTCTCTGATTTGAATAATACGAAGTAGATTTCCCGAATCCAAAGATGAAATAACTTTGAATTGTCGAGCAGGATATACTAAAACTTCGTTTTCTTTTTGATAAAATGAATGTTTACTAATATCTTTGCCCGAGTCACATTCAATATTGAAAATAGTTCTAGTTCCAGTTTTACCGAGAAAATTCTCGAGAACATTGATTGATGATGTGCAAGATGAAAATCCCCACCAAAAAAATATTTTTCCTTCTGGAAATTCATTACCCATATCCATTTTAATTCCTCGATAAATAATTCGATGCGAAGTCCATGGAAGTTTTGAAAGAGCATTGATCACAAGTCGAAGATAGAGAAACCAAGGTATTAATTGTGATCGATGTTCGGAGCGAAGAATGCTATTGAAGATGAAATAGAATGAAGTTTCGTGAGGTATCCATTCCATGGAATAAAGCATAATCGAAGCCGATTCATCTTGAGAGAGACCATCTTCTGGTTTATCACAATTTTGTTTAACTACCCAAACCATTTGTTCAACCTCAGGAACGAGAGAAACAAGCGGTTCAACAGCTTTTTCAAGACATACGAGAGGTACTTCTTCGAATCCTTTAATTGGTGGAAGCAATCGTTTTGATTCTGATGTCAAATCAGAGAAGCGAAGAAAGCTTTTAGATTCTAATCCCATCGTTCAATAAAGTGAAGATCTTAAATACAAGAAGAAAAATGAAAATTACTTTGTCAATCAACAAGATTCGGATGAGAAAGTGGGAGTTGAATAGCATTGCCAATGCACATTAGTAAGTAGAAGAAAAGATATCCGCTTGTCTTGCAGATAAACAACAGAAGTATTTCTGTAGAGTAAACCAGGCAGTCTTTTTAATTATCCATAAGAAGATCAGTTCATTTTTGCTATTTATTTTTTTATTTGTCCTGCTGAAAGATCGGGCACTTGTACGTGTAAAGTTGCTTGATGACCGTGAAAGTACCAGCAGCCGTAGTGATGGTGGGAATGTTTGCCATCTCCGCGTGGAAGCTGCAAAAGCTCAAAGTCAAGCATAAAATGACTATCCGTCCCAAAATACAAGGCCATCAGTTACTTTTTGAGTAATTCTAAAGAAATAAAAGATAGAGACTTGCGGTTTTCATCATTTGCTGGCCAAGGCCTGTAGCTATGTTTTTAAGAGCAAAAACTAATTTGGAAAAAATTTTAAAGACCGGTTTTCTACGAAATCTGTAGAAAACCAATTCGGTTCTCTGAAAACCGACATAGAAATCTGTGGACTTCATAAATATATAGTTCGACGTGTCCTCTACAAAACTGGATCCAAGTGACATCTTGAAAATCCATCGTTCGGGAGCTATGGACGTTTTTCCTGAAGCCATAGCATTCCTCTGCCGTTAGGTTTGGGACTATCGGAAATGAATGAAAACATAGGTTATCGACTATGCTGAATCTAGTGATGTCTAGGTGATGTTGGTTTTCAGATCGAATTACAAGAACCGAGTGAAAGCCTATACTAGACGAAATAACCCATTTTTGATTATTTTTATTAAAAATTAAAAAATTCATAACTCAGTCGAAAGCCATCCAACCTATTTCATATTTTCACGAAATACTCTGTTTTATTTGGAGCTAATAAAGATAAATAAATGTTGAGAAAACCAACAAAAAATATTTTGGTTTCTAGAAAGGTTTAGCAGATGCCTCCCGAAATACGAGAATATTTTTTTGTTGATTTTACGCGCAGAATTAGAATGACCGGATAAAATAGAGCATTTGCTGACATTCTAAAGTAGGTTGAATGGATTCAGACCTCCTGGAAAACCGGCCTTTGAAATTTTTCCAAATTAGGTTTAGCTCTTGAAAGCACAGCTACAGGTCTTAGCTGGCGAATGATGCAAATCGCAGGTCGCTATACTTTATTTCTTTAGAATTAATTAATAAAAAGTAACTGATGGCCTCGTATTTTGGGGCGGATAGTAGAATGCTCTTGGAGAGTGAGGCTTACAATACAACAAACACGACAGTCACGGCGTGCTCTTTTTTTGTTGGAAAGTGACTAACTGTTCCGCAAAGGTGATAGCGTTATCCTTTCTGTCAAAGATGAGATGACTCTTCAAACTTCCACTAAACAACGTTTGATTAGTCTAATTTCTTTTTCACTCTCACTCACCTGCGTTTCACCTGTTCGACGAGAGACAAAAGACATCAAATGAAAGTAAACTGCTCTTTTTCACATCCTTTTATTCCATACGTGAAATAAAGGAACGCAATTGTTATCTCATCTTTTGTCCTCTTGATACAAGTCAAATCGTAAGATATTTTGAAGAACGACACATTCAGTATTGCACAACAAGATTGAAATTCACTGCATCAACATTGTTTGATTTCGATTAGATGCAAGATATTTTTCCTCCAAAAGATCTTTAAACAATATTAAAATGCGGAAGCGATTTTTCAAAATATCTTTTGTTTTAGATTTATTTAGTATATTTTGTTGTTAATGTTCAAATTATCCGATATTGATGAAAACAAATTTTGGCTGAGATTTCGTCAGAAATTCATTGTATATAAATAACCGATGTAAAGATTCAGACAAACAGGGATGTCGAAAAACATAAACTTTTTATGAACAAAGCGTGAATTGCTTCGACCGTTTCAGAATTTAATTTGTTAGAAGTAGAGGTATGCGGAACCAGTCCCCAGACTGGAACATAATTTTGGACAAGTCACGGGACCGAGACCTAGACCAATCAAAGAAAAGTTAACCCCGTGAGAGCGCCCACTTTAAATTTTAAATTTTCGTTTTTTAAATCTTCGGCAGATATTATGTCAGAGGTGAACTTTGACCATCTTGTGCTGTTGACACAACAGAACAGAATGAAATTATATGCACTGTTACGCAGCAACCAAGACGCATGACTATTCTCGATATGTTTGCCTGCTCGTGCAATGTGCTCCAGTCTTACCAGTACATCTTGTACAGCCCCGAAATTTAGAAAGAACGATAGCGATAAGGAGAAGAAAGAAGTAAGAAAGAAAGAAAAGAAAAAAGCTATTAAAGTTTACGAAGTGTAAAGATGACCACTATTATATATCACTAAATCCATGTTTGGAAAGGGATACAAAGGAAAATACAAAATTTGCTCCAAAAATTACAAAACAGACGTGTACAAATTCTTTCTACATGCAGCGTTGCAATTCTGCAACGCTTCTAAAAGCATTCATTACTCTTTTTTTCGAACTAGCGACACGATACTCAACAGTATAGAATCAACTCACATCCTAATTGTCATTTCACATTGCTAAATCCTCATGTAAAATCCAGGAACTTGGAATCGATCCGGTACGACTGGGCGTGAGTACTTGTCTTTGAATTCGCAATCTTAACTCTGTTGTTCAATAAACAAAAGATATTTTAAAAATCGCTTTCTTTTATTGCATACCTGAAATAAAGGAACGCAATTGTTATCTCATCTTTTGTCCTCTTGATACAAGTCAAATCGTAAGATATTTTGAAGAACGACACATTCAGTATTGCACAACAAGATTGAAATTCACTGCATCAACATTG